GAGAGAGAGAGAGAGAGAGAGAGAGAGGGTAAGAGGGAGGGAAAGAGATGGGGGAGAGGGGGGAAGGAGGGGAAAGACAAAGGGGGGAAGAGGGAAAAGACAGACAGAGAGAAATTAAGACAGCCAGACACACAGACAGACAGACAGACAGACAAACAGACAGACAGAAAGACAGAAAGACAGACGGACAAACAGACAGACAGACAAGCAGACAGACAAAGGTCACCTCCCACTCAAGACAAATTGAATATTGATTAGGGCTTATCCTATATATCCATACCCAAGAATAGTATCAGACTATCAAGATGTTTCAGAGACCCACATCTCTTTACACAACTTCATCCCTTTAGCCATCCCACCCCCTAAAAACGAAACCCATAGGTTATCTTTCACCCTCCCATTCCCATTCTCCTCTAAGTGGCACCGACAATCAACTCCCTACATCTTTGTCTGTCTGTCTGCTACCCTCCGTCCTCTCTCTCTCTCTCTCTCTCTCCCCCACCCCCCTCTCTCTTTCTACTCTATTCTCTCTCCTGGCAGACTGACAGACAGACAGGCCTACAGATAGACCGACACATAGACAGACAGACAGGCAGGCAGGCAGACAAACAGACAGACAGACAGACAGACAGACAGACAGACAGACAGACAGACAGACAGACAGAGACTCACCTCGTTCTCTTCTCAGACAGAGACACGACCGACGTCAAGTAGTCAAACAGCTCGCCTTTCTTGCAGCTGTGGGGAAGAACAAAAAGACAGAACAGGTCAGTGGATGGTTGGCGGGTGCTCTGGTGTGGTTTGCTTCTTCTTTCCTATCAAACACCTATCGCCCTTATCTCCCCTTCTTCTTTTTTATGTTTTTCACTCTCTTGTGACACCTCTAATCTTCTGGCACTCATATGACCTTAAGCAGTTGCGAGCGCCGTAAAACCTCTAGCCTACTAAACTAAACTAAAGAACTGGTCAAAGCAGACACTATTTTCTGACAATAAGCAAAACAAATGGAAATATATAAAAAACCAACCTCCACCAAAATCAATAACGAACAAAACATAATGGAAAGAATACTTTGGAGAAAAAAAAGTTGGAAATATATCATAAATGAAAACAAACATGTCGGTTGAATGAAATAAACGTTTTAGAGAGAGAAACAGAAGGGAAATAACAAATCTCTGACATTTTAAAGAACGTTTTCTAATAATTAGGCTGGCTTTTCTTCTTTTTGTGTGGGGCCGGGAGGAGAGGTGGGTCTTCCGTGATATGTTTGTCTGAGGTAAAAGTAAGCACCTCGATACAATCAGAGTTATTTAATGCAACGGAAAAATGCAAGACATAGACATAAAGAACAGTGCTCTCAAGTGACCCAGTGGTATGAAGTAAAGAGACATCAGGATAAAACAAAGGCCACGCTTCGTTTAACTGAGAGAGAGAGAGAGAGAGAGAGAGAGAGAGAGAGAGAGAGAGAGAGAGCGAGGAAAGAGAGAGAGAGACAGACAGACAGACAGACAGACACACAGAGACAGAGGGGGGGGAGAGAGAGAGAGACAGAGAGAGAGAGAGAGAGAGAGAGAGAGAGAGAGAGAGGGGAAGAGACAGAGAGAGAGAGGGGGAGAAGAGACAGAGAGAGACAGAGAGACAGAGAGAAAAGAGAGAGAGAGAGAGAAAGACAGAGAGAGAAAGACAGAGAGAGACAGAGACAGGGTGTGTGGCATAAAACCCCCACGAAGTACATGTATTAACAGGAACTCAGATAAAAATTAAGTAGACTCAATGTAATCCGGTTGAAACAAAAGGGTAATTTTCCGGTTCGTTCAAAACAACGTCCGTGTTTTTTACGGGAGAGTGCATCCTGTTTTCTACTGGCCTACTTCCTGGAAGCAGCCTGACCTAGTCTTTCTTAGATCTATGAAAGCCCACACCTTTACGCCAACAGCTTTTCATCTTTTCTATGTCTACATGTCTGGTTAAATTAAAATGTGTTCACAATCGCCCTACTAGTAGGGTAAGCAGCATCGAAAAGGGTCAGGAAAAAAAAAAATTGAACTGTTCGTTTATTTTAGCTTTCAGTTTTAGTTTTGCGGCACTTGTAACATAAGCAAATCATGTGGTTGCTAAAGATTAGTCGTTTTACTAGAGAGTAACATACAAAGGAAAGAAAGAGGAAAGATTAGAAGGATAAATATGAGTGATAGGGAAGAAGGAACAAAAGGGGAGAGAAAGAGAGGCAAAAAAAAAAAAAAAAAGGAAAAAGGAAAAAGGGCGGTTGGATGGGCCAGGCTTGTACATGGATAGAAATTGAAAGAGGAGGGGGGAACAGAGAGAGAGAGAGAGAGAGAGAGAGAGAGAGAGAGAGAGAGAGAGAGAGAGAGAGAGAGAGAGAGAGAGAGAGAGAGAGAGAGAGAGATAGAGGGAAGAAAGAAAAGAAGCATAAAGAAAAGAGAACAGGAAGGAAAGTAAAAACAAGAGGAAAGAAAAAAGGATAGAATCGAAAAATACAAGAAATAGGTCAACACATGTGGCCCGTCTCACACCAAACGTAAACACGACCCCGCAAGCCTTCGACCTCGATTCCAGCCAATCAGAAGGCCGCTAGGAGACCACCGCCCCCGAAAGTAGCAACGAGGCGGCTGCTTATCTCAGAGACGAAGCACACGGAGGTCGCGATACGCTCACCAGTCCGATTGATAGATATGCAAATACACGTCATGTATGTATGTATGTATGTATATATATAAACAAACACTCTCACACACACACACACACACACACACACACACACACACACACACACACACACACACACACGAACACGCACACGAACACGCATACACACACACACACACACACATACGCACTCACACACATAATATATAATATATACCACAGTCGATTTATCATATTACAATGTATATTATGTCGATTCCACGTCGATAATAATGACAAAGCATACCAATTACCCTTAAGGCTGGAATGTTTCCAGCCAAATTCAAATTTACATAAACAATAAAAAATATCCATTTACAACACGTGTCGTGAACGTGAA